TGGAGAAAAGCCTTTGTACTTCCTGCCCAGACCTTCAGGGCCTTCTGGATAAAAGAAGCTTTCCAGATATTGAAATTTCTCCTCACATGCTTAGCTTCAGAAGTTAGTGCTGGATGGATTTCATGGTTTTGCATGCTGACCTCATCGCACACAGCCCCATACTCTGTTCTCTGTGTCACTGGGCCTGCATAGCCCTGCTCTGACTTTTCTTTAGGTCCTTGTGTGGATTGTCTCCCCACCCCCCATCTGAACTTCACAGCTTACCTCTAGGGCCTTGACTGATGCTGAGGACACAGACTTATTTTTCTCTATATTAGACTTATTTTTCCTAGACCCTTGTCTCAGCTGCACAAACTAACCTGCAAGTTCATTATTAGTAAATAAGCAAATTATTTTCAACCAGGTAACTAACAGAAATAATATAAATTTTGAATAATTACTCAGTCACATGGTCTCATAGATGCCATCCTGAGTGTTTAACTTTTGTTGATATACAGATAAAAGTAGACCAGAGTGAGGATTTTATCTCCATTAAGAAAAAATGCAAATACAAGTAGCATAAAAAATACATGATTTTAGGGCTGGGGTGATAGTACTTGGTGGCCTAAGCAAGGACCAAGGACCTGGGTTTGATCCCCAGTACCACATGCCATGCTGGCCATCAAAATCTGATGTGGTGGTGCACGCCTATAATCCGAGCACTGGGGAAGCTGAGACAGGAGGATCACTATGAGTCTGAGCTTTGAAGAGAGACCCTGTACCAAATAAATAAACAAAAGATTTTTTAAAAAATTAAATACATACCTTTAGAAATATGGTAAACTTTATATTTAATCATATAAAAATGTTGTATGGAGTATTTTATGCTTATTTATTTCTAATATATACATTCAAGACACCATATCTTCCTTAGAACACATAAGAGCTATGATCTAATGCTATTATGCTGCAGTAAAAGCACATGAAGGAAAACTATCCTTGAATTTTGCCATATATATGGATATTGTTCATTTTCCTGTCCTTTTATGTATAAATTGAATCGCTGAATTTGGCAATGAGATAGTAACCAAATTTTCGTTGGCTGCTAAATGACTTTGTGAAGTATCCTGTCAAACACTATTAAACATAACAGTATTAATGGGCATTCTGGAGAATTAAACTTTGAGGTATAGGAATTTATTTCAGAAATGGTCAATTTTTTCAGACTATGGAAAGATTGATTTTCCTTTAAAATAAATTCTCCCAAGATGTTCTTTGTAATGTTTAGAAAGTTAGGATCAGGAGGCTTAAAAGTAGTCATATTTTTTGTAACTTTAAAACTACTTAGGAAAAAAAATCTATGCTAAGGAGACTATCAGATATTTGATAAAAGATTTAATGAGTATTATGTTCATTAAAGCCTACTTATATAAGAATAAAAGAAATATAACTTGCGCAGCAATAAAAGGAATATAAATGACTAATGTTAGATAAGTGGATAAAATATCCATATTGCAAGGTCTTTGTTATTACTGAAAACCATGTGCCTTTCCAAAAGTATATGTAAAGGTAATTCTACAAGACATTTTATGTGATATCACTTTAGCTAAGTTTTTCAAACTTCTGAAAATGCACATATACAATTAAAAAAATCAAAGAACAGTACATGATAACCATTATTAAGAATTTGATATACTTCTGATTGACAAAAATACATTTGTTGTTTTCTTTTTTGAAATTTTGTTTGTCTAAAGACCTAGTAAATTATTTCTGATGAAATTTTTATCATGTAAGAATCATTTGTCCATTTTCCTTCTTGTCAAACTTCCTTTTGTGCTTGTACTCACCTTGAGCAACACTGAAAAAGGTAAGTCTTACAAGTGAAGGGCCAGCCAAACAGTTTAGCAGATTAAAGAGCCTGTAAGCAGGTACAGGGCCAGAGGTTTCATCCCTGGGCCTGCTGTGCCAACCCAGCCCCCGGGGCATGCTGAGATGGCAAGTCAGACTGGGTGTGGTGGTGCACACCTATAATCCCAGCTCTTGGGAGGCTGTAAACAGGCAGATCACCTTGAGTCCAATCTAGTAGTGAGACCATGAACGCCCTGTAGACCCTTCCCTAAGATTTAAAAAAAAAAAAAAAAATGGGGAATGAAAGGAAGACCAGCCCCTTTCCCAACCCCAGTATGTCTTTCATTTATACAAATAGATGAGCAGTAAATACTTTGTCCTAAAGTACAACTAAATAAATAAGCAAAAATACATGCTAGGTGCTGTTGTGGTACCTCATGATTGGCTGAATTTAAACTGCTATGGAACATGGTTTCTCTTTCTGAAATCATGAAACTTCCAACGAAGGCTGTTATTAGCATCAGCCTTGAAAACTGACAAGAGGAAAATCATCCACTTGGCTGCCTGCCAGTGCTCTCCTCAGAGGGAAAAAGAATCTAGTGCGCAGATAGACATGTTCCCACCCTGCTGAGTGGTCACAGGAGAAGGTAGGAGACCTGCAAGATATTTACAGTGCTGTTGAAACCAGAGGTGACAGATATCTCTGGCCATTGCAAAGCAAAGCCACCACCTTTCACTGTGTCACGATCCATGGGAATCTTCTAAGCAGAGAAGAACACTGAGAATATGAGAGGTGAAGAGAGACTGAAAGACAAAATCAAATTTCAGAAAACTATATTAATATGTAAGATGAATATGCAAACTGCTATGGGACATTTGTATATAACTGCATCCAGATGTCTTAGCAATCCTGAGTGGATTGCTACAGATTTAGCTAGCAATCCATTTTGTACTTACCAGGCACTTCAAGTACTGTTTGCATTGTGACTGGATGCATGTAACTTACCCTCTCAATACCTCAGTTTATTATCTCTACTATAAGATAATAAGAGGACTTCACTCACAACAGTTTTGAGCAGAAAAATAATACAGGACATCTGAAATGATTAAAGCTTTAGGTGAGGCTTCATTCACTGTCCATATTATTCATGAACATTTTACCTCTCAAAATGTAAAATACATTGAAATTAAGAGTACATGTTTACTAATTTTTAGCAAATACATATTCCTTATATCGTATTCAAGTTTTAAAATCTTATCAAATTATCAAACAGCTATTCAGGGTGACAATCCTCTTCTAAGTGCATGAAGTTATACTGCACAAAAGTTTAATTGTATGTGATAAATAGTAATTCAGAGAGTTAAATCTAATAGGTGAAATCTTCCTCAGATTTTACCACATTCCTGTGTGTGTGTATGTTTAGTGAGAGAAGATAGGTAGGGAAGGAGGGAGGGGGGAACAGAGAGACAGACAGACAGACAGACAGACAGACAGACAGACAGACAGACAGAGAGTATTCCAGTTGCCGAACACAAGCTCCAATTTATGAATGATAGCCCAAAGTTAACTAGCAGTCCCTGAAGAAAGTCTGGATGAGAATTAGTCTATTGATTCCTTAATCATTCATATACCAAACTGGTTCCATTAATAAATCTCATTTTGAATGTAGAAGTTGCACATGAAACACATTGTATAAAACCATCTGCTTAGACATAGAAGTCAGGGCACCACCTACAGTTTTTTGCTTGCTCCCTTAACTATTCCCCCTTCTCCAACTCACACATCTTGGAAGTGGAAGGCACTTGTGGTTACACTACGGCAGGGGAGATGGCCCGAAGCAAACCTTCAGGGAGTCACACGCCGCACACTGGAGCAGAGTGGTGGCTCCAAGCTGCAGTTTGCCAGTCTTACTGCAAGATGCCCACTGCTTTTTCTTTCCTTGATGTGTTGACATACAAGTGTTTTAATAGCTATGCAAGGGAATATGGCTATTCTATAGGGGCAGTCTAAGTGGTATAGTCACGTGTTGTGATCATTTTAAATGAAGGAGACATGTGGCTGTAAGGTTTT